CCTCGCCCAAGTGGCTAAATTTGTGTGGATGGGGAAACTTATCAAAAACACAATAACTGGCTGAAATCCACATGAAAACATAATCCCTGTTTAACCGCTTCTTTTTCTTGAGCACCCTTGTTAGGTGTTCTCTTCTCCAACCACCATCACAACTGCATTATTAGTCAGACAATCAACAAACCTCTCTGACAGAGCTAGTTTAATTGGATGCAGCACACAGCATTATCATACCCGTTGCCTAGCAATGAAGCAATATGCCAAGATTCTTGTCTTTGAGCATGTTTTGCCCAAAATGGCATCTATAATTAGTTTGCAATTACTACCAATTGCAATCAAAGCAATTTTCTTAAAACAAGTTCTCATCGTGCTCCTCATATTTTCCTGAATAGCCGTCCTCTTTCTGAACTGATGTGATGTGACTCTTGTGAGTTACTATGATCCTGTGTACACAGATCTATTACTGGGCTATATTCCCAGTGTTTATCATTCAAATGATAAAGACATCTCCTCTGGTCATTAGTCAAATTGACGATGACAAATTATTGTAGCACCTACTCACATCAGCCATCTTTTCCATAAAACTACACCATCCAAAAAGCTAATTGGTTGTCACTTTGGAGAAAAGTCACCTGAACAGAGCAGTTACATCTACAGAACCACTTCAATGCTTAATGATGTCTTTGCTTTTCTGGTAAAAGACCAAGACATTATGGCAATATATTGAACATACAATGTTTATTCATGGTAACATTGTTTCTAGGTGCAACCTATAGCTAAGCAGTTTTTTTTTTAATGCAGGTAGACCCAGTAAAAACAGGTGATTGACTCATATTCTATTGCCAGTCTGGGTTTTTTCCCCAGTAATGTAGCCTTGACGTCATAAATGCATCAGAAACAAACTGGTCAGAAGTGGGAAACAAAACACACAACAGAACAAAGCCCAATAGAGACCAGTGACAATGTTATATTGGTTGCACTTTTATATTTTTTACTTCTGTCCCTCTTTCAAACTCAATGGTGACAGAATAATTTTGGATCACTTAGAAGTTCAATGCGCGTCATAATCACACCAGAAAAGATGCAGGGTCAGCATTGATATAGAAGAACAAATTTGTGCATTCACACGGTTGTCATGTCAACATTACTGCAGTTCAGAGCCAGAGCCTTAAAAAAACTGGAAAGTAATTTGACCCAGATCACAAATAGTATCCATTCCCATTGCAGACAAAAGCCAGAGGTTAGCTGTTTTCTTTGTTTTTTTAATCACTGGGAAAGTAACTTTACAGAGGAAAATCAGCGAGTCATCTTCAAAACTTCTCTAACATGCATCTAACACTTTATCAATTCCTCTCTCCTGCCTTTCTTTACAGTCTTATGACTCCTGTCACTCAATTCATTTTTTGAATCAAGAACAAAAGTAACTGAATGAGCTGCAACAAAAAAGACCTTCTGTAGAGACCTGAAATGTGTGTGCACGGAGGCAAAAATAATAACTTGTTTTTTGCAACAAAGCAGCGGTAACACAAGGCTGTTATGAATGCTTTGCTGTTACAGACAGTGGCTGGAGGAGGATGTAACAAAAGAGATTAGGAGCCATATGCAGTGTGCCGCTGCCAGGTTGGTTGGCTGGAGAGTCCGTAGTGGGCCAAAGAAGGCCTTGATGGCAGCCAGGAAATAATTCCAGACTTTCTTTCACTGAAAGCGTTAGTGAGGTCAGCCAGTACAGTATCAAAGGACTGTTTACAGCTATGACACTGGTCTGAGATTGGAGTTGGACACGGCCCTGAAAGTCTTTGGACCGCACAGACAAAATACCTCACTGTATAACTGGAGTGGCAGGTGCGAGAGTGGACACTCAGGACTTCTCAACATAAAAACTTTGCCGAAAATGAAGCAAAGTAATGCGGGTAAACAAGCCAAAAAAAGGCGATTGAATCCCAGTTTTTTACCCCTGGTGATGGATATTTCATGTCCCGAATGTGCTGGAAACTATTTTGCATTTTGCAAGATACAAAGAAAAAAAAACACTGTTACACATTTTTTCCAAGATGTAAAAACAAGTACACAAACATTCATGGCCATTAACTCACCACCAATGCATGCAGAAAAAGTGCTACAATCAATATGTAGGCAGCCAAAATAAGGCAAAGAAGAAATTAGTATAATCACTTGAGTGTCATGTTTCCATCACTGCCAATCAGAGACAGAGCTGAAAAACCCAGATGTTACTGGGTGTTATTGGGTTTTCTGGCTACTGGAAAGGGGGGCTTATGATTCCATCTTAAATTGATCTTAAACCTACTAACTAGCAGGCCCCAGATTGTCTTCAAAACTTATCTTTCCCTGGATAAGCTGCACTGTGATGCTCCAGCAGGTGCCGCTTAGAGGAGCAGGTGGTCACAGCAGACAGTGAGCTGAGCTGTGCTGAAGACTTGCTCAACGCCTTGATCACCCCGTCCCTCCCACCCTCCCTCGGCTCTTTATCTTTCCATCCATCCTTTTCTTTCAGACCATTCATCCAACCATTCATCCTCTCCACGACTCAGCTTAATTTCTCCCTCACTTCCTGCGTACTCTCCTCTTCTCTCTCGCTCCCAGCCTCCATCTGCATGCCCTCACATACAGTGGCAGCCAAGGAGTCTGACATCCACCAGATGTTTTTTTGCTCCTCGGGCTATGTTAGTCCTGTAGCACATTCACCCGCAGAAGACTAAAAATAACTGAACATACCTAAGAAGTCATAAGGACATAAACATCACGGTCAATGACTGTATGTAAAGATGGACGACTTGAAAGCTCCCCACTTGTTCTCCTCCTGTTGGCCCCCTGCAGTAAAGGTCACAAACCCCTTCTCCTGCATGTTAGTGGATGGGACGTGGGCCAATGCAATAAAAACTGTGCGAAATGACTCAATTGAAACTGAGACTGGCTGAGACTGACTCGTGATTGGTCAATTGTAGGCAGTGAAGGTCCATCTCCTGATTGCTACTGTACAGACTCCAGATGTACAAAATGGAGATTTTCACATCTGGGATGTTTTAGCTTCATTTCTGGATGGTAGTATTTGATTTCTGAAAGAAACATAATTCCTGTGTTTTAAATGTAATGTTGCATCTGCATCAGATTTAATATTTTTCTTTTGCTGCTGCACACACTCTAGCTCTAAATGATGTCATCGGCACAAGATGGCAGCGATCGTACATGTGTGTGCATAGCATCGGTTAAGAATGGTAGGTCAAAGGTGATTTCCTACAGCAGACAAAAGCGAAAGAGGAAAGCTGACAAGCAGACCAACACTGACTGACAGATGAGTTGCAGTAAATCTCATTAAATACAAACCAGTGATGTCAGACCAACAAAATCCAATCTCTTTTCAAACAAACCCCACAAAACAACCAAAATATTGCCACCATGTGTTTTTCTTCTTCAGACTCTCTCAAAAAGTTTATTGACAGTCTCCAAATCCCAATACTGATTAAATATGAATTAAAATCTGCTCTGGTTAAACTGTGACAGCCCTGGGAATGAAACCACAAGGCACAAAAAGATACCTGCAGTGAGTATGACATGACTAAATCCTCTCTGAATACCTTGAACACAAGGATTAGTTTCCAGAGGAAAGAAAAAATCCTACCATAAGTCTAAGTGACAGCGCTACACTTAGTGGGAAGGGCAGGAGCGAGATGCTGTAAAACAAGAACGGGGGGATTTCTCCATTCACTGGTTAGGAAAATGGCTCTTCCTTTCTCTCTTAGTCAACTTGAAAATTGTTGGCATCGAATATATGTTTTGGTCTCTTGTCTGGTTCCAGCTGTTTTTCTAGAGGTGCATGAGAAACTTTGTGGAAGGCACTTCATGAAGCAACGTCTGTGTATTTGCATAAAGTTTACAGCTTCATCACTTCTTCTTCTTATTGAGATCAGATTCGGTCTGGGGCAGAATTCATAAACCAGACAGCAACAGAAAATTAGGAAATCATTTCACCGACAAATACCTGGATTTGTTAAAAGAAGCAGATCATGGATTTTTGTGTCGCACCAAGAAATAATGTTTTCGGCTGAAAGGAGACAGTCATCATGGCAATTTCCAATAAGCACGTACTTTTTGCGATGGTAATGGCTCAGAAAATGCTTGAGGTGATAGAAAGTGAAGAGAAACGTGGAAAGAAATTGCAAATGAGCTGCTAATTCACTCCCTTTAAGAAGACAATGAATCATTTTTGGACTGGCAATTATGCTTTACAGTACAATTTCCTCATAGTTTCACGAATTTAAATTATTTTCATAAGCTCAATTACAAGGTTTGATGACCAATTGTTTTATTTATAAAAATAACAAATAAATAGGGAGGTGTAGTTACACATTTTTGTACAGTATATCAGGAAGATGAGCAGGGAATGTAAAATAATGCATGATATTTAAAGCAAACGGGATATAAACTTAACGACTCGTGATGCCATTGACACAGGCTGGGATTTTGTTCTTCAGCTACAAATTCAAACTACAGAGCAGAGACGGAGAATGACCTGCACCTGACCTGACCTGACAGATGTGCTCAACTCTGGAGAACTGCTCATCAGGGTGAGAGGTAGAAAATCATTTTTTGTACCATTATTGTGATAATATCTGCAAGTATCTAAGGTGATGTGTATCTAAGCTCACTTCATCAACCTGCCATCCTGAAAAGAAAACTCATTGTTTTCAAAGATTTCAGGCATAGTGGACCATTTGGACAGAGAATTAAAGAGCAAGAATTGCAGTAATTAGATTTAAGAATTGTATGTACTATTACATGACCTTAAGCTTGAACTCCAATGAACTAATTTCAAGTTGGATTATCAAATTCAAGAGACTAGAAAAGAGTTTTGGCTGTATTTTGCTAGAAATTTAAAGATTTGATTATATTCATCCCCGAAGAAGTACGCTGCAGAATCTAAGAGAATAGCACACTAACACATTTGTTCCTCATGAGTGGACTTTGCTTAAACATCACTGACTTACCAGCTGAGAAGTCCTTGTTGAGGTCAATGAAAGCATTAGAGTGAGGGTTTCGCATTTTGACAGGTGAAGTCAGCGCATTCTGCCACACTTGAACCCTAAAGGGCAGAAAAACCATCAGCAAGATGTAAAAGCTCCAAATGCAAGAAAGAACGAGAACCACACAAATACACATTCTGAATGATAGGTCAGTTTAAGGGTTGCATTACCTGTCGGTGAGATAGCAGACTTCAGTATGTGTCGAGTCTGTGACTCCAAAGATATCTGGGATCATGTCCCCATTGAAGCTGTGGGAGATTACATTTCAACAACACACTAAATTAAAACTTGTTATTTCATTAGATACTGTACAAACAAGACAATTGTGCAGAAAATACTTTTTAATGTTGAGTTTTTGTTCACACTGGGAGAGAGGTACACAGCTCTGGACCCAATGGTGGTGTTTTACTGGACTGCACTGTATTGAGTTGTTTGAAATAGACATTCCATAAATCTCTGTCTATCCGTGACTCACATATATCGATAACCGTTCATCTTAACGACTTCACACTTGGCAGTTGTATTGTTGAGGGCCCAAGGGGGTGCAGTGTTGATTTCAATATTCATATTTTGAATAAACAGACGATCAGTGCTCTATAGCAGCACGTCTTCGGTCACGACAATGGCAATGACAAATTATTCTCCAGTTCGGGGTTCTGCCAGTCTACCTTCACTGAACTTTTTTGTCCTCATACATAATAAAGTAGTAACTTTGTCTATTTTAATATTATCTGAAATGAGATACACAATTACAAAAAACTTACAACGGTTTTAATTTGATTGGAAACATGGATTTCTAAAAAACTTAAACATAGCCTGAATCATGAGAAAATATCTAAACTAGAGTTTATGTGAACATAATTCAGAGGGTTACTTACTCCATAACAAGGGGTTGATCTGTGAAGGTCTTGTTCAGTCTGAGCCAATCCATATCTGCAGAGGATGAACAGAGTGAACAGGCCATGAGTAAATTAAAGCTGGCTAAAGCATAAATATTCAACAATGTATCACTGTACACCTCACATGATAAAATCAATTAATAAATCATGTTAAGTCATTTCACAGATGTCTTGTTCTGGGATGAATAACAGTCCATACAGGCTGTGTTCTATTCAAGCCATGTCATTGTAACAGGGAGTTGGCATAAACAGTCCCAACACTGAAGAAAAAAAGATCCAGCCATCACTGAGGGCAAAATTATGACCAAGACTGAAACTGTGACAACTTACGTCCACAAACCTGAATCATGATACAGGATGACGAAACCATGAGAGCAGGTTGTGCTCATTTTACAAATCTGATGTAGATCAATTATGTATCTTGACTCCTCACTGTGTTTGCACAAAGAAATATATATATCTATATGTATAGGACCTTTGTTACCTTGCTATTGATGAAAATGACATTGCGATAATAACTACCTCTGCAAAGGTGGTTATGTTTTCATCAGTTGTTAGTTATTTATCAGTATTGAGATACAACTACTAAACAAGTTACCACAGAATTTAGTGGGAAATGTGGTATAGGTCAGGGAAGAACCAGTTTAATTTTGTTGCCGATCCAGATCAAGGGACAGATCCTAGAATTGTTGTCACTTTCTTTAACATTATGAGATTTTCCTTGATTTATCTGAGAACAATGTGTGAATCTTGATAAAAAATAATACATTTATGGAGGGTGTGTGCAATTTGGTGCAGATCCATATAAAAATCTGATAGAGTGGATTTAAAAGTGGTTTCATAGCGTGAAGGCTTTTTTCACCTGCTGTGTGGTAACATGTGGAGAGACACCTTTAACTCCTACATATATGAAGCTGAGCAATGTAGCATGGCCTTTATTTAAGGACACTGTTAGGCCTTAGCAGAGGTTAACTCTTATTCTAAATTATACCTTTTTAAAACCCAGCCCAACTGTATATCCTATAAATATTACAAATTGTTTGGCGTACTACTGCACATGCTGGTCAGTCTAATCAGCTAAAGATGAATAGCAACCCTGAGATTGCAGACCCCACCCAGGGCACAATTAGGTCAGAGGTGTGCAGCAGCCTCTCCCTGTCGAAGGTGTACCTAATGTCTGGTTGTTCCCCCAGAAGATGAAAACAGATGTTGCTCCATTGGAGTTGGTCTGAGCCGTGAGAAGAACATCCATCTGTGAGTCTCCATCATAGTCTCCAGGAACCACGCTGGTGATGATGGTGTTACTGAAGCAGGAGGAAAGACTGTGTGTTAGTATGAGACTAATGGTCACATGGTGTCTTTACAAACATGTCCCTCCCACAGAGCAAACACAACCACCCTGTGAGGCAAGACACCTCCACTGTACCACGGGAAGGAAGCATGGAAACGAGGACATGTTTCAGAGCAAGTGTGAATGGAATAATAATACGATTGTGGAACCCATATGATTTACCTTGGCAAAGAGTTTTTAATGTTTTGGACTTTGGGCTTGAAGTAGGGTGGTTTCGAGTCAGCCAGGAATATGACCAGTTCAGATTCTGAAACAGGAAGAAGTCAACAACACTGATATTAATGAAGTATTAGTGAATGAATTAAATGAACTGGAGCTTAGTTAGCCTCCGTCACAGTCTCTCTCTCACTAGCTTGTGTAACGACACTTGAAAGAGCTTGTAAACACATTACACATTGAAAAACAGTGACATGTGTCGTGACTGCGACACATTTTATATGTACATAATTTGAACGTCGCTGAGTCTAGCGGTTAATTAGCAGTGGAGTGCTGAGGCGTTCACGTACGCTCTCTGATCATGAAGATGTCGGTCTGTTTATCCGAGTTAAAATCTCCAAACGCCGCCACCGTCCCGTAGTTCTCGGCACCGAAGAGGTCCGTGGTGACATCCTGAAGAGCTGACGTGTGGTACCGTCCAACAAAAACTAATACAACAGCCAAAGTGTTGAGTTGTGATGGCCACATCCTTCTGCTGCTTCAGCTCCTCACAACAACACCGACTGCAGTACGGCACTCTGCTTTACGACAGGCTGGAACGACAGGCTTGTTGACTTCAGCGACGCATTTTGTCAAATATCCATCTTGAGTTCAGACATGTGCTCTTTTGTGTTCACACATTGTGGAAACAGACGGAGCAAACATGATGATAAGGTTTGAACCGTGTGATATCAGCGTTTCCTTGTTTACGTCAGTGTCGTGCTCGCGGCTAGTTTGACAGTTGACAGCAACATCAAGCCAGCTGGAGTTAGCTAGAGCAAACTCGAAAAAGGAGGAAGTTTGCTTTCAAAATAAACCTCTGGCATAAATCAAACTAGAAATGAACATAATATCGCAAACACGCCGTCTTAAAAGTTGCTGATCGAGTGAAATGCAAGCTCAAAGAGTAATTGTAATGTTTATTGAAAGGTCACGTCAAATTTTAAGCATGGCTGAACGGGAGCAGAACCAACTGTCTTTTATTTTGAAAGACCATAAAGGAAAAGCTTAAACGTCCTAGCGAATTGGACTTTGTGTAAACATGGCGAGCCTGGTAGATGTCGGCTGGAAACTCCTGGAATTCAAAGCCCGATCAAAAAGATCAGGTCTGACTTGTTCCTTTGCATGACACGTCCGGTCGATGCTTGAGTGCCGCTGCTTGTGTGACACTGTGTGTTTGTGAAGCTCCTCAACGTGGTTGCGCTAAATAATGTGACTCGATCTGCCCATTGAATGTGTCCACTGCAGTGACGGTGCAGGCATGAAAGGTCAGAGGAGCTATTTTAAGATCCTCGGACCAGGTCTGCTTTCACTGTCACATCTCACCCTGAGCTTATTGTGCTGTGTGTGTGTGTGTGTGTGTGTGTGGTAAACACACGAAGTAAAGTGGTGCCACAGTTTAAGGATAGAAACATCACAGCAGCAGTTGTTTGTCACCACCTGTGGAGACACCATTACTTCTCAATAGTGACAAATCCACTAAATTAGTTTTTCCTACACTTTGATGCACCTCAAACATAATAAATCCATATCATTGTATGATTTTAACTAATCCAGCTATTCAATCTGTACTTATTTTAACTGTGTTAGTAATACTTCAGTCCTAAATGCACTGTCCCCATAGTTTCACAACAATTGCTTCGGATCATTCTGGTAAAAGGCAGCATGAAGATAATGGGAGGCACACATATCCTGATCTTAGAGCCTAAATCCTCAACTTTCTGTCAATTACACTAACTATCACTTCCATCTGTTTTCCCACTTGACATGTGACATTAACTCAGCAGTATAATATTCTGAAACCACATCATCTTGAGATGGATGTTATGCAGCATTATGGGTAATCATTTGTCAACGGTCTTAATTTAGTGACATATTTATTCTATTACATTTTTTACATTGCCTTCATAATATTTCACTATTACTCTACTTTTCTCAAGAGCAGTGGTGGATCTAGGATTTTTCAAAAAACAAGGAGCCATAAAGTGGCCACAATTAACACAGAGGGGTCAATTATTAGACCAACGTCCATGCACAATTCCTGATCCAGTGAGGTGCACAGTCAAGTCATTCCTTGTTTGCAGTTAGCGCTTTAACTTTGAGCAAAGATACACATCAATGAAAGTATTTTGAAAATGATTCCTTGTTCAAGCACATTGTGCTTGGAATTGTTTTGGAAATTTAACAAATCCTTACAAAGGTAATATTTATTGTTAGTATTGTTTGTAAGTTACAATTTTGTTTATAAAGACTACTGATAGTAAAGAGGCACTTTATGGGCCAATCAGATTTCAGCTTGGCCCAGTGCCCCCCCGGCCTTACTCCTGGATCCGCCTCTGCTTGAGGGTTAAAACATCATTCACTCCTAATTAAATACAGTGCATTGTAATTTTTTGTGATTGTTGCTCATGATCATGGTCATCTTTCTAACTCCAGGGTGTAATTAATTGTTGATTCATGCATGTCTAAAATCTAACTGTGCTACTAACTCCTTCCTGTGAGTTGCTGTAGATTTGTGATTTAGCTGAAAGAGAGAGAGAGACGATTGGCCTTAATTTCACCTTTTGAGAATGGCTGACTCAGTGGCCGCTCCGGCCCGGCCTCATCGGAAAGTTCTCAGACTCGGTAAGTAGTGGCAGCAGCTCTGAAGAAAACCATGTGGTCAGCCACGCAGCGGAGACGTAGGGAGGTGATCAGTAGAGATCATCAAAGGAAATCATTTTGTCCCCTGAACATCAGAAGCTAACTTATTATTTCATGATTACAGGAAATCATTTTGTCCCCTGAACATCAGAAGCTAACTTATTATTTCATGATTACAGTAAAACATATTTGCCTTAATAGGTTGAGAACTGGAAATAAAAAAATAGGCTTATAATTTTTCAATTTCTCATGGTCATTAAAGTGTTTGGCTGCATAAAATGTGGATGTGCACAATAATGAAACATTACAATAATTTGCTGCAGTTTGATTGTTGATAAAGAGTCTATTTTGTGGTTTTAGCTTCCATCATCTTGTTATTCTTCTTGTAAGGATGAAAGACCCATAGATGACACCAAACAAAAATACAGTATCCAATTGAAGTCATATACAGCATTTGACTGCATTGTTAAGAGTGTCAGAGGTCTGTATCACTCAGGTTTGTCATGTGATTGTTGAAAACCATCCAAACTCATTGGAAATTAAAGCTGGAATATTAGACTTATTCTGTGCTCTTTAAAAGTGTTATCTGTAAAAAGAGATGGATTGGCTTTGTCCCCTGCAACTTTTAACATGATGGAAATTATGCTAATTTCAGTCAGAATGTGAATTTTTCAGTACCTGTGGTATTGACCCAAGGTCGAACCCATTAAAATGCAAATTTCAGCAGTGAAAAGTGTCTGAAAATAGAGAAAGTCTTAGAGACGGGGTCTCCCTCAAACTCGTGCATGCTCGCTCTCAGCTCAGAGGGAAATGTTCAGAGTATCTGGTGGTGAGTCAGATTACCATTTGAATTCCTACGCTCACGGCCTGAATATTGTTCTTTGTGTTGAGCTCTTTGAGATGCAGTGTGTTGCAGTGAAAAAGCAAATTGACTTATGGCATGTGTCTATTGTGTTTTGTCCTATAGTGCTCATTTACTTTTATATTCATTGGAAAATTGGGATGATTTCATGAAAGAAAATATTCATAAACTATTGCTAACTGCAAACCTTTTTTTTTACCTCCATATTGGAATAATAAGAAATAACACAATGGTCTCAAGATTGAAAAAAATGTAAATCATGCAAATTAGAGAGAAAAACTATTGATACATTGATTTTACCTGAGTCTAGTTTAGTCTTTCTTCAGGCGTAATGTTTATTAAAGCAAGGAGAAAAGGATCCATGGAAAACTTAGGCATAAGATATAGGAGCGACACTGGTAAAGTTAGTATCTGAACAGGTGTCTTTCTTCACCAGGTTCCATCTATGAACCTCTTAAGCTGTCTATTCTCCATCGGGAGGATGAGCCCCTATGGGAGAAGCTGGACCGCTACTACAATGCTGGTAAGTACAAACTACATCAACGGCAAGAACCTAAAAAGAAGGGGACATTTACAACACTTTTTGTATTTATCTCAGTTATTCAAAGATTATTTGGTTACACAAGACATATCATTGATCCCAACCTAAGGGACAGCTGCAAGTAATTTTAATTAAACACAATTATTGTTGGAATTATTGTAAGATTTAAATTTTGAATTCTGAAAACTACAGCTGTCCCCCACCCCATCAGCTATAACAAAACACTGAATGCTAGCTGGACACACAGACAAATAGATTTATTTTTCATTAACACCTAGTGCAGAAGACCTAGGTTTGTAGATGTCCTATGTTCTAATCAAAAAAGGTCAGGACCATATGACAAAAATGCTGCTCATGAAGAAAATGCATTTCATACATCCAAAACAAGTTTTAAGCAGTAAATGCAGAAGGAACTGCAAGATAACTGAAGCAATCTGCACTGCTCTCAGCCACAGAACCAACAGTTTTATTAAGTGCATTTTGTGTGACTGGAAAGAAAAAACTATTTTCTACTGATCATTTCTCTCTTTGAAACCACAAGGTCTGACTTCAACATGGCCACACTGTTGTTCTAATGTATGCAACTGTAAAGGCTGCAGTTGTTTTGTCATTGCCAATATTCCAAAATTGCAGTCTTGGGTATCGTGATTACATCTTGCAGATGCACTATATTGTTTACAGAGAGATTGCTCTTGGCTGGTTTTACAGAGACAAAAAAACCCAAAACATTTATGCAGCATGCGCTGACCTGAATTTAATTTCATGCAAAGGTGCGCTCTGTTGACTTGGCACTGCACAGAACACAGTTGGCAGTGTTTCACAGTGAGAACTGACTTCTCCGGTGGGTGCCACTGCTTTAGAGGCTCTTAGATTGACTGGCCAGAGGCTCTTCAAGCAGGAGTGGGAGGGTGGAGACAGCAGGAGCCTGAGTCCTGGTCACAACAGATATTGACTGAGAAGATGTCACATACATACACCAAGGGTTTATGTGTATTCATAATTTTAATATTCCTCAAAAGGACAATCAATCAATCACATTTACATAATGGAGATTTGTGCATGGGTAAATGCACAAATATTTCCCCATACTAACTGCCTTTGAGTACTTATACCTGAACTAAATGACTTAGATTTCTGTTATAATATGCACCTTTCAGTGGAGGTGTTGTTTCAAATCTCTAGATTTAATCTGTTAAGACAAACTTGAGACAGAAACTCAGCGACAGATATATAAATCACCGGTGCAACCCACTCCAGGTGATGCTGCTGGCATGTGTAATCAATAATGGAGACTGGAGCCTCACTGCAGCAGAGATAAATACACATTAGTCCTGATTACTGAATTACCAGAAGCTGTGAGTGCAGCACTAGATCAGCAAGTGTAACCTTTCCAGGACACAAGAGGAACCACACATTACTGCCTCACAGCTGAATACACAGTACCCTCCATTTCTGATTCAACTAAGTGAAACCAACTTTTATTACAGAAGTGAAGTATCAATAAAAAATGCTGTGAAATATTGCTGTCATAAAATACAGAGGTCAAATATGAAATTTGGGGCTGCAACTTCAGTGTACTTGCTGCATTTAGAGAGCTGTCTGTCTAATGGTAGGCCTTTATCTGGCAGAGGTTTGTCATCAACTAATAACTCATCTCACACGGTCCCAATAATGGCGTCATCACATCTGTTATTCATATATAGCAACCAACTACCTGCTCCTTCATTGATAGGATTTTCAAGCTGTTTGCTCTATGGCTACCAGTGAGTGAACTTTGAAGTCTAAGTGCCTTTGCTAGTTATAGACAAACACAGTTGTATTTTTCCCATTTAGATTGTACAAGCTTTTATTTTGGTTTTAATCAGCTGTTTGATGCTAAAAACATCATGATTGAGTCGAGATTAGTCGAGCACAAGTATCAGCAGGACGTAAATATTATCCAGGATCACTACTGCACACGCTCCGAATGACATCGAAAGTGCAACACACAGTCTGTGGTTCAGCTCAACCAAAAAAATATATGTATATATGAAAATGGTTTCTTTTGTACTTTTCCTTTGCCTCGTGATGACAAACTAGATTTATTCTCTTTTTATTTCACAGCAAAAATCAATACAGGTCAGAGAGCAAGAGAGGGTATATGCCACACACGCACACCACTTCTTCTAAGCAGATAGAGTTGGGTTTAGTGTGCAGAGAGCCGGATCATGAGTTGCCTCTGGCTGTGTGTGGCTCTTAGATTCTGGTAATACAGCTCAGGATGCTGTCCCCGAGGATCAGGGCCGGGTTTTAGCCACTGTGGACATAAGCCAAGCTTTTCTCAGCTGCTCTTTTTGAGGTAACAAAAACGTATGATTCAGTACAGCACACACTAATCTTGACACACTCTAAGGAGGAGTTTATACGTACCTTTCTACTTCATTAATATTTTTATACAGTCTGTCTCGCTTATGCAAGACAAATTGATGTGTAATAATACATATTTTGGAAGCTATGTCCAGATATCCCCATAGTCATGCACTGTGCATAATTATAAGGATACAAAAGAGACGCATCACGTAAATAGTAATTTAGTCATGCCTGATGGGGCTTGTCAGTGCATCTCTGCCTGTGACATGAAAGTGATTACAGACCTCTTGAACGGAGACTTACTTAAAGGTGGTACTTAATTTGAATTTGGCAGAAGTTCATCAAAAAATACCTTCAAATAGGCCACAGAGTGTCTCCAATCATTTTATAGTGGAGGCATCCCTCCTCTCTAAAACACATAAAAAGCACCTCCGTAACAAATTACTTTTACACACTTTTAATAACACATATTAAACGTAGGTGAGAACAAGCAACACTTATGATTCTCACACAAAAAAAACCCATCACATAATAAGTAAACTGATAATAAGAAATGCATCAGGTTCTCTCTGATTCAGCTCAGCAGGTGACACCGATTGATCGATCACATTAATTAGTGTTGATTATTTAGAGCAACATGTCATGATGCTGGAGAAAGAGAGGCAAAGAGAAAGTCAAGGCAAATGGATCAGTCAGTCAGGTGGGAATGCAAGAGGGAAAGTTAGCTGCACTGCTGAAGTTAGTCTGATAAAAAGCAGCTGGACAGACCCTGAGTCTGCGTCAAGCTGAAGTAAGTTCAAGGTTTGATACTTAACAGTTCTCAGGAATGGAAAGATGCATTTGTTGGAGGAGCCTTCAGAATTGAACAGCCTAGTCGCACCGCTGTGACACAATGTGTCTTTAAAGGTACAGTGTGTAGAATTTAGTGATATCTAGTGTTGAAATTACATGTTGCAGCTGAACACCCTTCACCTCACCCTCTCCTTCCAAACATGAAAAAGAACCTGTGGCAGACTTTAATTGTCATAAAATCTCAAAGGGTGTTTAGTTTGTTCAGTCTGGACTAATGTAAAAAACATGGCAGCCTCCGTAGAGAGGGTCCCCTCTATGTAAATATAAAGTATTTAAATATAAAGAGCCTTTTCTGGTGTAAAGAAAAATATAATTCATACAATTTAGATGAAACAAACTAGTGAAAACATCATGAGGATTATTCTACATTAAATTTCTGCCAATAGATCCCTTTCATCTAAATCTTACACACCGGACCTTTAAATGCCGCCTCTGAAGGTCCCTTAATTGAGACGCAGTGAATGTTTAAACCTGACAACAAACACTTGTTCTCTCCCTGCAATTCTGCACCAGCTCCACCTATAAATCATCCATTATGTGGTAGTTAAAGAATGATGTTACTTACTCCAGTTTACATTGACTGGACTATAGTGCTGGATATTAAAGAATTATAGGGCTGACAACTCCAAAGCATCAACACAATTCACTAGCAGACAATTCTCTCATCAGAAAGTGTTTCAGATGGAATCGATTTTTTGCTTTGAAAGAGAGAGAAGCACTAGATATAAATAAATGTAAGTATAGACGTGATATGATTGTGTGTGTGTGAATGACTGCACAGCACTCTGAATGGTTGTAAAGATTAGGAAAGCACTATATAAATACAGTCTTGTTACGCACAGGGATGCTCAGGGCTACAAAATCAGTGGAAGTGAATCACAGTTAACAAGTCGCTGTCATTGCCACAGTTTAGTTTTTCCCATATCAGCTTTGTTTGTACACTTTTATAGTTCACAAACTATTTGTATGCTTACTGATGTTTATGATACTTACTGTGAACAGAAGAGAAGAAAAATAACATTTATAGAGATTAAAGAAGACAAATCACAGCTTTGGGTCATGATTCAACTGGATTTACTTCACAGATAAATGGGAAATAACAGCTTTGCCAGAAGTGAACTGTTATACAGTATTCTTGTGTCTTGTTGTTTCATTGTACAAGTAATCAGAGTAAAAGGAAAAATAACCTCCTCTAAACCAGGTGTGGTTGGATTGAGGGGTTGTCAATGCGTCCTGAGTGAAAGCTTTGGTTCTGGTCTGGATGAATCGTTTTCTCACATGAATGCATTGCTGGCAGATATGACACAACCCAGTGGTCTACCCTGGTGAAGACAGGGCAGTGTGTGTGTGTGTGTGTGTGTGTGTGTGTGTGTGTGTGTGTGTGGTAGATGTTTGCTTGGTGGGTATTCATTAGGCTGCATGCGAATGTGTGCTTGGAAAATGACAGAAGACAATAAACAGAGCTTAGTGTACAACAGGTGTAGACGTCAGTAGGAACTGATTTGCTGCTATCAGTGAGCGCAGCGTTGCCTCCAGCGTCAGCTGCGTCGCAACTCCATAGATTTACAGAGAAAAGCCTCCACCAGATTGCAGTGTGTCGAAAACGCAGCGTTGAACATTGGGCTTGTTTAATTGTTGTGTTGGGTGGCGGCTGGGAGCGCTTGTCCAATTCTAGCGGGGAACAAAGCCAACATTGTTATCGCCAGCACCCAGACCTGCCTGCCAATATACCTGCTTTCTTTCAGTTTCAGGGAGGAAAAGAGGTGGAGAGGGGTGAGGCT